ATATATATCTGTGTGTGTGTGTGTGTGTGTGTGTTTGAGTGTTTCTTTCGTCGTTTTGAAGACTTTGGAATTGTAATTGTGTTGGGAGATTTTATTCTCTATTGTAAGCTCTTTGGAATTATTCAACCTCTTCCTTTTGCAAATCTTCCTTGTGAACAGGTATTAGATCATCCTCGACCCTTGTATCTAGCCATCGGCCTTTCGAGCTTGTTGTTCTAAGCAGGGACAGCCGCCGATTTTGTCATCACCCAAGTTATCATCCCATAGTAATTTTACAACCACCTCTCCCCTGAACCAGCTTCCCAGACATCTTCTAAAAGCCCTAGAATGATATCGATCAAATGAGTCAATATATAATGATGAGCTATCTAACAACTAAGGGCCCGTGCGGGTGGCGTTTTCAAAACACCACTATACTGTTTGGTTCGCGCGTTTCACCAACTTATCTGAAACTACGTTTGGATTTTTATACTAAACCGAGGTCGCGGTTCGACCCCTGCGGTCGGCCCGCGGCCCGCGTTTCAGGATAAACAACTTATCCTGAAACGGACAAGCTGCCCCAAACGAACCCTAAAATAAATAACAACTTAAAAAAGCTGAAAGTCATAGACAAGAAAATATTGAGCCGAGCAAACCACATTTGATAGATCAAATTATTATTGGAAATTATCTTCTCTTGTATTCAGTATATTAACCATTGCTTGCTTTTCGTTTTTGCTTTGGGTCTCATGCTTCACTTCATTATCTTGGTTGCAGGAACTAGCCTTTCATGAGGAAGAGAAGAACCGCTACAAGAAAGGCAGCCAAACAATTTGAACAATATTTATAAATAAGTGTTTATAAGGGCATTTACTTACATATGGCACACAATTCTTACAGAATTTGCAGTTAGATGTTGTAGTCTTATATATATAACGAAATAGTAAAATAATATAATCATAATCATACCACCCATTTCAATGCATTCATATCCTGAAGCCCACAAAGATATGTTAGACATATAAATACATAAGATTTGAGTGGTATGGATGTAAATCTCCAAATCTCCCCAAAAGAAGGAAGCATAAGAAAATTTATCCAATTTTTCATCTAAATAACACTATTTTTCAGAGCCACAACAAAATTTAACAAAAAAAAAAAAAAGGAAAAGAAAATTTGCCCCAAACAAGCAGGTTAGGACATTCTTCCATTGATCAAGTAGAGAGAGCACCGAAGTGATTTACAAGAATTTGTTGATTTCATTTGAACTTCGATCGACTATTCTCTCAGCCCTAACTTTTGGATACACACCCAACAATATAGATCAACAGGCTCGCCAGAAATCAATGGATGCCGAGCAGGTAATAATTATCTTCATCTATGTTTCTCTTTTGCCATCAGCTTTGTACACTAATTCCTGAAAAAAATCCAAGCAAACTTCCTTTTCAAAATGAGTTCTCCTTAAAAATAATATATATGACCTGAGGAAAGAATTCGGCCAAAATCAGACTCATAATGGTCTCTCGTACTCTCTTTCACTACATAAATATATATATATATATATATATGATAAGTAACATTTTAATTAAACAACCAAAATCTAAATTGACAAGTTGCAGGGACATTAGTTAAAAAGGGGCAAAGAAACCAAAATATCTACAAGAAGTATTTGGGCTGAATGAAATAGATTTCTATAACGGTATTTTTTATCCATTTTCTTCCCAGCTAAATGTACGGTTTCTATTTTTCCTTCAGCTTCTCTATTTCTTCATGGTATCAGAGACATAGTATAAAAGATGTACATCCTCCAAACTAAAAACTAATTGATAAAGCAACGAGACCTTCAACTCAAACCAGTCAACAACAAAACTCTTCCCTCACAAGAATAACCAAAACTTCAATCCCAAATCCAAAACTGGGTCGAACACATGGCCCCAACATAGAAGCAACAGAAATACTACACTCAGATAGTTCGACTCATATTAAATTCATGCCCAATTCGCAGAACTCAGTACCCTCATTTTGTTAATCTCTTAATAAGCCAACACTGAAAATTATTTTGTTTTCAATGAAGGTAATGTTGGATTGCTGTTTGGAGCCAAAGCATTTCAAGCAGGAAGAAATGTAGATGCATAGGCGCCGGCTACGGGCGCTCGGGGTTTGGCAGAGAACACCGGCGCACTTATGAGCCCACCTTATCGTGGGCGCAGCTATGTTGACCCACATATGCATGAGGGCGGTTTCAAGCAGTATTTCAGTTTTTCATCCCGATTTTGAGTAGGTTTCGTGAGACTTAGTGAATCTTCCTCTGGTACTTTTCGACGAGCATCCCGGTGAAGGTGTCAAGTGTCGAAGATGTTGATTTCAATGATTCAACGTGATTTTCTGCGTCGGATCGAAGAGGGAGGATTGTGGAGCGAGTCCTATAAGTTTCTTTGTGTGTGGAGAGAAAACTTGTGTGAGCTCTTTGTAAAACCTTCTAAATTTCATAGTGGAATTTCTCGTAGTGTGGCTCCATGATTTTTTCCCGCTCTCGGGTTTTTCCACTTAAGATTCTCGTGTGTTTTTCTGATTGCTTTGATTGTGTTTTCTATTTATTTTTGTTCTAATTTTCTCAAATTGGTGTGATCTTGTTATTCCGCGGCGTGGTTTAGTTTCTAATTGATCCTAAGCCCTGATTAATGGAGACATTATTTGGAATTTTCAATAAGGTAATTGTGCTATTGAAGTAGGCACACAACTTAGTGGTGATGATCACAGCGTTGTGTGTGTTACTTTAAATTACTACAAAAAAATCATCAATATGGTCACATTTTAGTTGATTATTTATGAAGAGGACAATGGTGTTCACTTTAGGAATTTTACTATCATATTGACAGAATATATGATAATAATTAATAAATGTCAATGGAGATGTGTCATTCAAGAAAAATAATTAGTACATGTGATGAAATTTTAAAGAAATTAACAATAATGTCTCATTTGTTACTGTTAAATCTTTCATTTGAAGCATATGATATCCAACTTCATTGTGTTACATTTTTTAATGGAAAAAACCGTCTCATCAAGTATTTTAATTATTTGTTTTGTATTAAAAATCGATGAGAGAACAATATATTCATGGCATGGCATAACAAGTCTTCTTTTTTATAATTTTTTTTGTCATATCTGTGTCAATGTAAGTACTTCACCGGTTGAGATTCTTACCAGATCAGCTCGAGCGGAGACGAGAGAGGATAGCAATCCAACAAGTGATGCTTCATTATCCAATACCTGTAGTTCCTCGGAATCTGGTTGGACCTTCTCATCTTGTACGGTTTGATGCTTTTTGACAAATACTGTAACCCCTTCAACTTGTACTGATGTTTGAATAGCAATAAACTGTGAAAGTGCGGATATAAAATACAAAAGTTAAATTAATGAACACTATTTTTTGCGTTTTAAAATTGCAGGTGATTATCAAAAGGTTTGGAAGACTTATTCACTTCGCATATATGTTTAATAGATATGGTTGGTGGGCAGCAAATATATGGACTGTCCAATTTCAAGCTTTGTTCATTCAAAGGTAGCAGCTTCAGATGTATATCATACTGTCATAACAGCAAGAATGAAATATAGTATTACAAATCAACGGATTTTGAATCACAAGAATCAAATTTCTGGGCTTGATTGGAGCATACCTCGTTTTCATTTTCATCCAAATTACGCAAGTATTCCATCAACTTGGCTAACCGAGCAGCCTTCACAAACCTTCCATTCAAACCACTGCTGTTACCGTGTCGAGTTTGGCTTCGAGCGCCACCTTTACCCCATGAGAGTTCTCTGTTTCCAGCTCGTAATGGGGAAGTGCGAAAGGTTTCTCGGTTCATGTCGAAGTCACAATTTTCTCCATATCCAAGATCGGCATTACCGACTAATCTGGCTGGCGAAGACCTGGGAGCTGCCATCAGCCTGCATCTCTTGGGCCTTCTATCAGGAGAAGCCTCTTCTGCAGAGGATGAATCTTTGCCAGCATCATTACCATTAGCATATTCTTCTTCTTCGTCATCATCAGACACCATTGGGGAAGCATTCCGAGCAGCAGTTTTACCTCTGCCACGAAAATAACCATTTTGCCGTTGTCCGGCTCGATAACTACAGTCAGATCTTCTGAATGCTTCGGTAGAGGATTTAGGCATTGGTCTCCGCTTCCCGAGTGCTTCTGCTTGTCGCCGAAATGTCTCAGCTATGGATGCTTGTATCTGCGTACGATTAACCTTGTTAGTTTACTGAAAAATAAACACAGCATTCAGAGGCAATATAAACAAGGGAAATTTACATACCAAGCACACAATTCTTATGTATTTACATATCCCACACCTAAATTTCCATATTTACATAACATTTTGGTGCTCTAAACTCATGCTTGAAAAGTTACATTTAACTTTTAAAAAGTGATAAAGGTACTATTTTTTATGTGATATTAAAGATTTGAGTGTTATGTGTGTAAATATCAAAGTTTAGGTGTGAGAAAAGTTTAGGTGTAGTTTAGGTGTGAGATATGTAAATACATAAGAATTGTGTGCTATGTAAGTAAATGCCCTTATAGACAATTATTTTATAAATATTGCTCAAATTGTTTGGCTACCTTCTTGTAGCGGGTTTTCTCTTCCTCATGAAAAGCTAGTTCCTGCAACCAAGACAATGAAGTAAAACATGAGCTCCAAAGCAAAAAGCAATGGTTAATATACTGAATACAAGAGAAGATAATTTCCAATAATAATTTGATCTATCAAATGTGGTTTGCTCGGCTCAATATTATCTTGTCTATGATTTTAAACTTTGTTTAAGTTGTTATTTATTTTAGTTGTTAGATAGCTCATCATTAGATATTGATTCCTCTTACTGATATCATTCTGAGGCTCCTAGAAGATGTTTGGGAAGTTGATTTAGTGGGGAGGTGTTGTAGAATAGCTAGGGCATAATAACATGGGTGATCAACGACATTTTGAGAGAGCAAAAATCCAGCGGCTGTCCCTGCTGAGAACAGCAAGCTCGAATGGCGGATGGCGAAATACAGGGGGTGAGGAGGATCCACCACCTGTTCCTGAGAAAGATATAGATATACCACTTGAAAAAGGAAGACAATGAATCATTCCAAAGGGCTTAAAATAGAGATAAAGTCTCCTAACACAACTGCAATAGTAAAGCCTTCAAAACAGCAAAAGAAACACATATATATATTTCCCCGAAAAAAATAACCTATTTAGAAACTAGAGAAATAGGTAAAAGCTAAAAAAGAAAGAAGCAAAGGAAGGAAATTTGTCGAAAATAAAAGAAAGGAAATACAAATAAAAAAAAGACAATCGAGCACTCAATTATTGGGTTCGAGAAACTAATCATGATCTCGCATGTTCCATGACACCGCAAAAACAAGTGTGATGTCGGCTTCATTCTCTCTGTGTAGAAGAAGCTTCTTCTTCTTCTCTTGAAGCAACTGGGTATCATTGTCCGATGTTATTTCTCATAAAACACTTGCAGAGATTTCCAAAGTAGTTCAACACTCATATCTGGTCAACTGTTTATGGGTGTGCTACTGAACTAAACTGAAATTTATTACTCAACTTACTCCATAGGGCCTTCCAAAAAATCTCAAAAACTTCTCATCTCTAGCTGAAGTGAAGACATGTTGGACTGTTTATAGCGGTGGCTGACTCGTATACGGTATCGGTTCCTCGAGCTCATCACATTCTGGAAAAACCAATGCTAGTTATGCTCTTGCTCCTCTTAAGAACTGTAAAAAAATAATTCATGACACCACATCCTCAAACACCTCAGACTCCTTTCAGGACGAGTATAACACACTTCTCATCTTTGGTGAAAGAGTATGTGTTCTTGTATCCATCATGATGTGTGTCGTGAGTTTACTAGGAAAGACGGCCTAATAGGATGTAGCAGGCATCCATAGGTACTACTTCACACTACACTTGATCCTGGAACTTATCTTAATAGAAAAATCTACGAGGCATCTCCTCTAAAGGTTGCTCTTAAGCTCCTTCTTCGACTAAGCCAAAAAATATACTTGTTTTAGTAGTGAGACTAACTTAGCTATCATCTGTGATGTCATATTTTCAAAACTACTTACATCTATAGTGAGAAGACACACATTTCCCTGCACTTCCCTGCACGGTACAACAGGTAGGTAAAATGTTATGGTGGAGCCATTATTGCTCTCTGATGGACTCGATCTGAAGGACCGTATGATCACTAACATCTCTCCCATATTGGCTGTAAGTTGATACTCCTTTGCGTCCTTAGATTCCCCATCGTCTCCTGTGCCACTGTTTATATTTTCAATTACTCCTTGCTCAGTGAAAAAAACAACCCTCCTGTTTGGGAAATCAAACATGATGTGCTCAAAATCATGGCATTTGAGACACTTTCTAGTTGGGAAGAATTAAGGAGTACTGGTGGTCTCCACATTTCTCCACTTTTTATGGGTTTCTTCTTTGGCAGAATCGATTTGGGTGCTCCACTAGGTGTACCCTTAATGTTTGACCTAATGGTTGAACTCTATTTGAATGTTGGAGTGAACAAGATATCGTTATATTGTCTCTTCACCTTCAAGGTTGGGGTATGGACATCTTGTAATGTCTAATAGGGCTGTACTTGTACCACTTTGTCAATAAATGACCCCAATCACCCCAAACATCAAACTATGGTGTTCTCTTCAAGCTCTACTAGCTCGTACTATAATATAAACTACTCAAACTCAGCTATTTACTCATCTACCGAAAGATCTTTTTGTTATAACAGATGAATCCTTAAGAAAATCTCCTATATGTAATGTACTGACAAATAATTGTGTTGTATATCCCTTTTCATCTTAGACCAAGTAGTGATTTTACTCTTCACCTCACACTGGCATAAGCAATTCAAATTTTTCGACCATCAAGAAATATAATTTTTTAACATAATAGTGGCTAGCTTGACCATTTTGCCAAGTGAAACATCCTTATTCTCAAAGACACATTCTACTATCTATAACCACTCCCTAAACTCGTCTAGATCAAAGCAGCTATCAAAATCCAACAAGTCAATCTTCACTCCAAAATCACGTCTTCTCTTCTGATATTTCAGGTCAATTCTTTGAGGTATTGGTTCTTCATCACTAGAAAGTATCTAGTGGAAGGGCTTAACTTCCTTCCCTCAATCTGCTTAGTCACCATTGTGACTATGGGTGACCTCATCAAATTATCTCCTCTCAATAACAACAAGCCTTTGTACAATTGGAGGATTTCACATTGCATATCCTCCATTATAGGATCTTAGACACCTCACTAAGAGTTACTCCTTGAAGGCACGACTTCCTTTTTTCTCGATCAAATTTTCGGTTGATGTAGAATTGCAAATTAAAGTTTGGTCATGCTATGGTTTTGGTGCTAGGTACGAGACAAATTTTTTGTGAAATAGAAATTTTGGATTGTGAAAATTTTAAGTTTAGACCGAGAAATCGTTTGGGTATTAGTTAGGTTTTTTTTTAGAATTTTAGATTTATGGCAAGAAAGACATCCATAAAAAGATTTAGGGATTGTTAAGATCTAATACAAGATGCTATCGTTCTACAACTCCTAGAAGGTGTTTGGGAAGCGAATTTGGCACGGAGTGGTTGTGAAATAGCAAGGGAATGATAATATGAGCAGTCGAGGGTGTTTGGAGCGAGATAAATGGCGTTGGATGGTAGTTCTAGCTGAAAATAGTGGATTGAATGGAAAATGGTGAGATACGTGCAGCGAGGAGGATAGATACACCACTATTCTTGAGCATGATACATATTCACCACTTGCAAAAGTAAGAGGATGTAGCACTCCGGATAGCATAAAATAAAGACTAAAATCTCCAAACATATTAAAAATAGCAAAAATCTCCAAAATAGCAAAAGAAAGAAATATAAATAATTTTCCTTTAAAAATAACCTAATGAGAAACTAGAAAAATGGTTAATAATCAAAAAAGGAAGAAGCAAAAGAAAGAAACTTTTGAAAATAAAAGAAATGAAATAAAAATAAATAATAAAAGGCAACCAAGAGACGGACTCCCGTGAACTAATCGTGGTTCCACCTATTCTATGACACCACAAAAATGGTGTGACATCAGCTTCATTCCTCCACAATAGGAGAAGCTTATTCGTCTCTGAAACCACTTGAGTCTCACTATCTGATATTATTTCCCATAAGACACCTGCAGAAAATTCCAAAGTAGCAGTTCACCGCTCCTATTTGGCGGCCATCTGTTCGTGGGCGACAGCGTTGAATTGAATCGATATTTAATAACCAGTTGGCTCCATAGGGCTTTCCAAATATAGCAAAAAAAAAATGTATCATCTCTATCTGAAATGACGACATGCTTGACAACTCGTAGTGGTGGCTACCACGTATCTGGTATCGATTCCTCAAACTCATCACATTCTAAGACAATTAATGCTAGTCATGTCGTTGCTTCTCTCAAGAACTATAAAAAGATAGCTCTTAGCGCCACATTCTTAAAAACATCGAACTCCTCCATAGGAAAGAGTACAATGTGCTTCCCATCTTTGGAGAAAGAATGTGTTCTCGTGGCCATCATGATGTGTGTAGGTGATCATACTGTTTCAGGTGGCTTAATAAGATGTGATAGGCATTCATGGGTACTAAGTCACACCACACTTCTTCCTAGAACTCATATGTAATAAAAAAATCCATGATGCATCTCCTACCAGCACCGATCTTACCTCCTTCAACCAAGTCAATGGATAGGGTTGAGCATGCTTCCGAGTAGTGAGACTCAATTTATAATTCGTCTGTGTAGATAACGCATTTTCACAATTGCATCCATCTATGAGATTGCACATCTTTCCTTGCATAGTAGAACAGGTATGAAAAAATATTATGCGGAGCCAATGTTGTCTCTCATAGGTTTAGTCTAATGGGCCCATAGGATTACTAAATCTCTCCCTCATTTGTTGGAAGTTGATATATCTTCGCGTCCTCGCCTTCTCATGTCTCGCTTGTATCATTGTCCACATTCTTCATTGCTCACTAATAAGTGAAAGAGACCACTTCCAGTTTGGGAAATCGAACGAGATGTGCCCAAAACCATGGCACTTGAGCACTTCCTGGCTATGACGAATTTACGTGTCCTTGCAGTCTCCACCTTTTTCCACTCTGCACAGGTTGCTCCTCTAGTAAGGTCGACTTGGGTGCTCCACTAGGCGTACTCTTGTTCCCTAATCAAATGGCTAAATTATATTTGAAGGGTGGTATGGGCCTTAATATTGTTATATTATCTTTCCACATTCACGGTTAAGGTCTGGACAACTTGTAATGTCCAATATGTTTGTAATTATATCATGTTGCCAATTGATGACCTCAATCCCCTAGATATAGAGCTATGAAGTTCTCCTCCTGCTCTTTTAGCTCACACTTCAGCATAAACTACTCAAACTCAATTGTGTACTCTATTGAGAGATCATTTTGTTGATGAATCCTCAAGAACAAGACTTGACTATAATATACTGATGGGTACTTGTGATGCATCACCCTTTTCTGACTATGTGGTGATATCACTCTTCCTCCTCATGCTAGCGTAAGCGCTTCATGTTTTCCCATAACAAAGAATGAATATTCCTTAACTTAATAGAGGCTATATTAACCATTCTATTATGTGAAACAATTTTATACTCAAAAACCCATTCCATTATTTGGAGTCTATCAGTGAACTCATCTAAATCCATGCGATTATCAAAATCTGGAAATTCAATCTTCAATTCAAAATTTTGGATTCTCCTCTAATATTCCATAGCAAAAATTTGAGGTATCAATTTTTTATCACTGAAAAACTGACATATGAAAGAAGTTCACTTCCTACTCTCAATCTGAGGAGTCACCGTTGTGATTATAGGTGACATCACCGGTTTGTCTCCTCTCAAATGCGACAAGCCCTGTTGCAATTGGAAGATTTGTCGTAGCATATCCTCCATAGCAAGTTCTTGGACACCTCACTGAGAGTTTCTCCTTGGAGGCTAAGCGTCCTCTCACAACTAGATTTTTGTCATATGTATGATTGCAAATCAAAGGTTGGTCAGGCTTAAGTTTTGGATCTATATGTCAAGGTGAACTTTTTGTGCAGGTAAAAAACTTGGATTTTAAAAGTTTAGGGTTAAAGTTAAGAATTTTGGTGGGAATAATTTGGGTATGGGTCAATGTTAATTTCTTTTTCTTTTAATTTTAGATTTGGTGCAAGAAAAACAAATCCCTAGAAAATTTAGGGTTTGTCAACTCTGATACCAGATGATACTGTTTTAGGTCTCCTAGAAGATTTTTGGGAAGCGAATTTAGAGGGGAGGTGATTGTGGAATTGCAAGGGGATAATTTGGCAGTTGTTTAAAAAAGAGAGTCAAATAGTGAATGATGAGATAGGGGTAGCGAGGAGGATCCATCAAATGTTCCTATGTAAGATACAAATACAGTAAGATACAAATACACCACTTGCATGCCACAAATACATCACTTGCAAAAAAAGGAAACACTCCATAGAGCATAAAACTGAGAATAAAATCTCCCAACATAATAACAATAGCAAAAGTCTCCAAAAGCCGCAAAAGAAATACATATAAATAATTCCCCCTAGAAAATAACCTCATTAGAAACTAAAGAAATACACTATAACCAAAATAAGAAGCAAAGGAATGAAATTTGTTAAAAATAAAGGAATGGAAATAGAAATACATTAAAAAATGCAATTGGGCGTTGAAATCTCATGATTGAGGAACTGATCACAATCCCGCATGTTCCATGACACTGCAGAAACAGGCGTGATGTCCCGTCGATGACCAACATCTTTATGTCAACAAAATAGTACATAAATGTCATTATATTTTAAAGATATCAGCAAATCAAACAACTCATAAATATTAACATGTTTATATAAGACTATACAAAATAGAAGAGAAGATATTTACTAGCATTGAGTTGAATAGTTCATTGTTATCAAGAAAATTTTAAAAATAAAATTCTATTGATCAAATATAGTTTGTTTGGTTCAATCTTGTCTTAATAATACATATAGCCATTTAGAAAGATTAACTATTATGTTAATCTTTTTTTCAGTTATTTATTTTAGTTGTTAGATAATCTAACAATAAACATCAATATATTTGACTAAACATCTAAATGTCATCAAAAGAGGAAATGAATTTCATTGACAATATTGAAATTTAAAAATGTCAGCCATCAAAACGACCCTCAAATATTTGTGTCTAAGCCATTGCCATGGTTACCTCTTCCTCATACTTGTCAATATCTGGGTATAAAGCTGCAATCAAAGCATCGAAGTTCGGATCATCTCTCAAAGAACGCCTACTTGCACAGTGAGTGCGACAAGCTGGACACTCATTATTTCTGAAGAAGTTTAAGAGTCGAGCATAAAAATTAAATGTGCTGCCAAAAAAAACTATAAATATAACAACTTTGATAAATAAATATTAAAGAAGTGTAAAGTTTTACATTAAATAAATCATGAATATATATTATATTGTAGCATACCCAAGTCGCATAGATTTGTCAATACATTCTCTGCAAAAGCGATGCAGGCACTCCATTACTGTTCTTGTCTTCCGGATAATTCCTAGTATATAACAAAAATTAACAGGGAGGCTTTTCTCCAGAACAAGGTAGCAAAATATATTCAACAAGAAAAACTAAGGCCAAAAGCAAGCATTTTTATAAAGCTCCGATGCTGGAGGAAAAAATTTATAATAATGCAAGCTAAAGCTTTGATAATTTAAGCAGCCTTCTGCCAGTTTTGTTCTACCAATTGTGAATGTCTCGTAGTCAAAATAATTATAACTGCTAATGTGATATTAAAGATTTGTAGGCCATTTTAATCATTTTCAAAACCTTCATAAGCTTGTCTACATTGTCAACCCCAAACATGTTCTAATAACTTCGGATGAACCTTATTTCATTTCTCCTTTGAAGAACCAAAATGACTTCTCTTCAATTCTTTGCAAGACATCAAGCGGTATGCTCTTCTTCTAGTTTATGTTGATAAAACTGCTATTATTGAGACATATTTGCCATTAATTATCTATTTGCAACATTTTCAATCCATATTAAGAGGCCTTCAATCCATATTAAGAAGATTAAAGGTGCAGAATGATGGCCTATAAAAGAGAAGCATAAAACTAAATTAAGTGTTGCTGATATGAGAATGCTCAAGTGGGCGAGTAGTTTAACACTTTTACACAAAATACGAAACGAATATATCCACGAAAGGGTTGGTGTAGCTCTAATGACAGACACTATTTGAGAGAGTCGTCTTAGATGGTTTGGTCACATTAAACGTCGACCGTCTGATGATCCAGTTAGGAGAGTAGATGTATTAGATTCAATTCATTTTAAGGAAGGTAGAGGTAGGCCAAAAATGACTTGGGGATGTTGTATAAAAAATGATTTTAATTTATTATATTTAAACAAAAATAAGACACTTAATAGGACAATGGAGAAAAAGAATTCATGTAGTCAGCCTCACTTAGTGGGAAAAAGGCATGTTGTTGTTGTTGTTGTTGTGCTTCTTAGGCTTGGAAGTTCACAATAACTTCTCTAACGTTTCCTAAACAAACATAACTGTGCAAAGGATCTAATTATTTTGGCAGACATTGAATATATTTCTCCTATAAATAATCAATGACAAGAAAACATTAGGTATCTCGGTAAGAAAGGTCATATAGCTTTGATCCTATTGTATTTCAACAGCTAGAAGCAGCATGAAATATTTGACAATTATTCAACCAAATAATTCATTTGTAATTTAGCTTGTCAATCAATTTTGACATCAATGATATCCTTTAATACCTTTATCGGACACCAAGCCATGATTTGTTCTTTCCAACTTGTTCTTCTCTTCATCTCGTGGAATATAGATTGAGTTCATTGTCTTGATATTTGATGGTCTATCATAGAACAGCATGTGACGTGGGGGCTCGGGTTTGAACCGATTCAACCCAGTTCAACAAGGGGAAGGGGCTGAACCAGCCCTCTCCTCCCTCTTTTCATTGGGCGGGAATTATTTCCCCTTTCTATTTTTGTGTCCCGCCTATCCCTCTTCTATTTATAAGTGTTTTTATGTCTCAGTTTTGTTGATTCTGATTTCAGGTTTCAGTTAAGAACAGCCGTCGGCATCATTTTTTCCCTTTCCAGGGCTGTATCCGACGACGAGCGGTGCTCCGGCTGCATCTCGCTCCCAGGTGGTAGGTATCCTCGATGTTCCTCCTACTCCACACCCTCCCTTTCGCCGCTGCCGCCGCCACCGTATTAGCGGTAACCTCCCATAGACCCCCAAATCCTTTACGTCATAAACCATCTGCCTCACAAGCCACCCCCTTTGCTGCTGTTCCATCCAGCCAATCCACCCTGCTACATTCCCATCAGATCCAGGCGCATCACTACCCTGCCAGCCTCCCTAACGTAAATCCCTCCGACCAGCCTTCCCTGTTACTACCGTAAGCATCCCCCACCTGCAGACTTCCCTATCGTAATCCCTCCTTCCTACACCGCCCCTTCCCGTAACTCTCCACTACCCAGCCAGTAACCCCCCTCTCCACTACCCAGCCATCCCCATAACCCCTCTCCCCCTACACAGCCAGCCCCAAACGCCTCTTCTCCTTCTTGCTACAACCCAAAACCCTCCTCCCATCCTCTGGCCTCTACAGCAACTCCCATTCCAACTCAAATCTGCGCCATAGACCCATATACAGCCCTCCTATTCCCACCACCGCCCTCGAATTACCTTCCTGCTATTGCCCAACCCCTACATGAACTCTTCCCCTGCAGGCCAGCCGCCAGCCATTCTCTCGTCATCGCCCCATAGTGATTTGCTATATTTGTTGTTGTTTATTTCCTGTTCTTGAAGAGTCATCGTTCTAACTTTTGAGTTTCAGCACTAAGATTGTTATTTTCAATGTGGTTTGGGTTACCTCCGGTATCATTTGATATCAGATCTAGTCTGACATAGTCCTATCATAGGGTTTCCTAGCATCTGCTCCCATCCAAACCGTCTCCACCAATTTTTTTTTTCCTCTTCCCAAACTTTTAGCTACATTTTGACCTAACCCTAATTCTCCTTTGCTGATTTTCTAAATCAGCAATCCTAAATCAAATTCTCGACACCATTGATTAGTCTCCTACAACCTCTTTCACGTCTCAAACCAAAGCCCTACCCATTTCATCAAGGAGATACATGTCTGCGCCTACCCAGGAAGAGATGCAATGGGAGATTCGTCGACTTCAGCGGAGAGTGGCGGATATTAAGAATGAAATCCAATGGGAGGCTACCCTCGACCGTGATCAGGAGAGTCAGCAAAGAGAACGAGAGAAACTAATGATAAAGCGGGAGACCCAGTACCAGTTCCTACCAGCTTACTACCGACAAAGGGTGCAGACTCTATCGTCAGAAGTAGAGAGACGCCCCCACATCTTACATGCGCGGTTCAACCCCAGAATCCTATAGCCCCAATACACTCAGGAGAACCCAAGGCAACCCCGTTAGAAGACAAGCTGCTTCAAAGAGGAAAATATGTGAAACTCATTCGCATCCCTAAATTTGTCACTGCCAAGAAGTGTTGCAAGTGCCATGAATTTGAGCATATTGAGTTAGAATACACAACCCAAAGAAGATGGTGATCTGTTTCACTAGGTAGGGCGTCATAGAAAATTTGGGCAAAGACACCACTGACACTGAAGACAGTGGGGATATAAACGAGGAGTGACAGCTTCTAGCTGAAGAGATAAACGGTGATCTAGACGAAGATACGAACTTCAGAGAGGATTTTCAATTGGCAGCCAACGAGGAAGAGACAACATGAATTTCAATTAACCCAAAGAAAGAGGTTGCAGTTGAGGTAACAATCTTTGCTCTAGAAGGTAGTGACCTGAGGTAATGGGCGGCCCAGCAGAGCAAGAGATTATGGTGCCTCGAGCTAGCATCTTGCGGATAGTGAGGAAAATCAGCGAGAATGATTTTGGATGTCTACAAGGGTATGAGTTTGAGGAGCTAGCATCAGATACAGAGCCACTACAAATAAGCGAAATACAGATTTTTCATATGCACAGACCCCCTTCTGAGTTGCCCCAATAAAGGGAGGTCCAGCATGTCAGAAATGAGGTCATTGTGTGTCAAGACAAGAATATTACGTCAAGTTATTTGGAGGTTACTTTCAGTTCAACATAAGACACCTCATCAAATGTCGTGATAAGAGAAATGAACCCCAGCTTTGTAGTGGGCCCAAGAAGCTTGATGGGGATGAAAATTCTACAATAGGATCAAGGTCCTATCAGTGAAGAAGAGGTCTCTCCTAAGAGGGGACTAGTGAGAGTGGCGCAGCCTGCCACGGATTTCAACCCAGCGTAGATTTCTCCTAGGATACTAGTTTATTAGTTGCACCCAGTCAGGTACAAGGAGTGGAAGAAGCGGGTTACAACTGGGATGGCTTGAAACCTGATTCTTGAAAATACTCGTATATCTACAGTTCAAGCTTAGGTCATGCCAAAGGTGGACGGATATCTCTTCCATCAAAATTTGCTTTAGAATAACAAAATCTACTTGTTCAAATGTCAGAGGACTTGACGGCGTGCCACAAGGAGCCAGAAGCTTCGACGAATGAAGTTGAAGCTCCCCCAACCCCGGAAGACTAACGTGGGGGCTCGGTGTTGAACCGGTTCAACTCTTTTTAGCAAGGGGTAAGGGCTGAACTGGCCCTCTCCTCCCTCATTTCAAAGGGCGGAAATTTTTCCACCCTCTGTTTTCATTTCCCATCTATCTCTCTTCTATTTATATGTGTTTTTACATCTTAGAGTTCAGTTTTATTGATTTTGACTTCAATTTTCTGTCAAGGACAGCAGTTAGTGTCCTTTTTTTCCCATTTCAGGGTTGTATCCGATGACGAATGGTGCTCCGGCTATATCTCGCTCCAAGGTGGTGATTATCCTCGACTTTACGCCTCCTACGCACCCTCCCTTCTGCCGCCTCAGCAGATGATATATCTGTAGCCCCTAAATTCTTTCCCGCCATAAACCATCAACCTCAAGCCACCCCTTCGATACTGTTCCATCCAGCTAATCCACCGTGCTACTTTCCCATCAGATCCAGCCGCATCACTTCTTGGCCAGCCTCCCTACCGTAATTCCCTCCTATCAGCCTTCCTTGTTACTACCGTAAGCATCCCCCACCTGCAAACTTCCCTATCGTAATCCCTCCTTCCTACACCACCCCTTCCCGTAACCCTCCACTACACAGGCAGCAATCCTCCTCTCCACCACCCAACCATCCCCGTAACTCCTCTCCCCCTACACAGCATCCCGTAACCCTCCCCTACACATCCCGTAATTCCCTCTCCACTACCCAGTCATCCCCGTAACCCCTCTCCCCCTACACAGCCAACCCCAAACGCCTCTCCTCCTTTCTGCTACAACCGAAAACCCTGCTCCCACACTCTCGCCCTTACAGCAATCCCCATGCCAATTCAAACCTGCTGCCATAGACCCATATCCAGCCCTCCTATTCCTGCCACCACGGTCGATTTACCTTCCCGCTATTGCCCAACCCCCACATGAACTCTTCCCCTGCTC